CGCAGTTTCTACCACAACGGAAAGAGCCGGGGGGGAGTTGAGGATGGGAAGTGGTAGAATTAGAGGGGAGTTTGGCTGTTACTAATGTGTCGCGAAGGTTGGGGGAGCGTCTGAAGGCGACAACTGGCAGCTGAGGAAAAGCTTTTTTGCAGCGGTTAGAAGACTGCAGTAGATGCCAGTGTTTTTTGATGATGTTGGAGATGTGAGGAAGCGACGGATTAAAAGTAGTTATAAATGGAATACGGTTAGGTTTTTTTACGTCTTTAGTTTGTAAGGTGAGTGTGCGGGAGAAGTCAGCGGCGCGTTGTATTTGTTTGGTATCTATTGCACTCTTCTTTCCATCCATTACATACCAAAAAAGCCATTCCGTTCAGTCTAGCACTCCGCCTACGACGTATCTGTTCTACAGATAAAGCTTTTGAGACTCGCGCCGCTCAACTTACCTCATACCTTCTCAAACGAGGTTACAGCCATAAATTCGTCACCAAACAAATACAACGCGCCGCTGACATCTCCCGCACACTCACCTTACAAACTAAAGACGTAAAAAAACCTAACCGTATTCCATTTATAACTACTTTTAATCCGTCGCTTCCTCACATCTCCAACATCATCAAAAAACACTGGCATCTACTGCAGTCTTCTAACCGCTGCAAAAAAGCTTTTCCTCAGCTGCCAGTTGTCGCCTTCAGACGCTCCCCCAACCTTCGCGACACATTAGTAACAGCCAAACTCCCCTCTAATTCTACCACTTCCCATCCTCAACTCCCCCCCGGCTCTTTCCGTTGTGGTAGAAACTGCGCTACTTGCCCCTACATCTCTGACGGTCTTACTAACTATACCTTTTTTTCTACCGGCGAAACACGTCCCATTAAATCTCACTTGACCTGTGACACTAAAAACCTTATCTACTTAATTCAGTGTAACCGCTGTAACTTACAATACATAGGAGAAACTAAACGACGTTTAAAAGACCGTTTTAATGAACACCGCCGTACCATTGATAAACCTAACTCTAAATCTAAACCTACTACAGCGGCAGAACACTTCATTTCCTCTCCTAACCACTCTGCTCACGACATGGAGCTAATCGCCATCGAAAAAGTGTTTTCCAAGAGAGACTCGATACGCAAGGCCAGGGAAGCTTTTTTAATTTCAAGAGGCAACACTATTTATCCAGATGGCCTTAACGCTCGCGAAGAAATGTATTAGTTTCTAGTTATTTATCCAATTTACCTTACTTCATTTCTATTTTTGCTCACTATTTCTATTTTTATTGTTATCTCATTGTCAATCAAATTAGTTTTACATATTTCCGCTGTTACATCATACAGCTATCTATGAAGCATCACCCCAATTCTCTGTTAATTCCCACTGCACCTGAAGAAGGCTGGTTTGGCCAGCCGAAATATAGTGCTCCGTCTTAAAATTTACTTATCTACGTTGTATCGGTCTTGCCTCTATATTTATATTTCATATTCGTTATTTTGGGCCGATCAGATCATCGCTGATCCAACGTACAAGAGAAGGAGTATCGTCCACGGTTGCCTGCTGAACATTTCACACTTTAAAGAACCCACTAACGAGATTACTGTGATGTGGTCTGGCCTGTTTACTGGGCCCGCAGTGATATTGGCGCAAGCTGTTGTAGAGTCCCTGCCTGTCGGTGAAGCTAATAAATTAAATTAAATTAAGTACCTCTTTTGGCTTCATTTAAACTATTCTTAGAGCCCACAAAAAATTTTTCTAAGGCTTAGTCAGTAAAACTTCAAAACGATTTCAAGTAGATCACGGGTCTTAATATTGTTATAACATTGCATCTTTTCCCGATCGCGGTGAAGGGATGTTTAGGGTAGAAGTAACACAGCCTCAGGAAACAAACTCTAGTAAAATTTCTTTTTACATAATCGCCCATTGAAATGTGTTCTGTCAGAATTTCTTAAGAAACAAGTGCAAACGACTTCAAAATAAATCTGTCACTGGTTTATAATCTGTCACATGAAAGCATTTAATTCCAATAACCATTACCTATTATCGAACGAAAACAATAAATATATCAAGTTACCTTAGATTCAATATCATTTAAAAACACGGTCGCGATTTCTGAGATTCAATAGTAAAGTAGCGTACCCCAATCCTCTGCGTCAAGATCTCTTTTTATGTGAAGGAAAGGGTAAAGATAAATAGATAATTTACGCTGTCACATATCATAGCTTTGCTACAATACAAGATATCCTTAATAAGGCCTCTGTTTTCCGTAATCATCCCTTTAAATGGCATCACCTAAAGAACTTCCCGTCTGCCTAAGGATTAACATCTTGTTTAGATTTTTGGTCGAAAGGTGCTTTGTTCGTCGTTAGATGACGCCCACACGGTCGTCTTATGTAACTATGGTGCCTCACTTTGTGGACGCGTGAGTTTCAGTAGGAAAGTGTTCCCAGGACACGGCTGGAGATACAAAAATACCCAGAGAGAAAACATTAAGAACACGTCTAAGATTCATGAAAATTTTAATGAAAACTTGGCTTGAGAGCAAATTTTCAGCATATTACGTCATGGCATGTAAATTTTTTTATTGTATTATATTTCTTTTTTCATTCGATTTCTACATGGGGGAGTGGTGTAGTTTGACCTTTATACATCATGTTATGCTTCATTTGGAGACCATCACGCGTTGTGTTTTCATGAAATAATCCTTCGCTTTTCCTCGAGACGTGAGCTTCGGACGCCTGTGGCGGAAGACGGCATTAGAATTTGGAAGCCCTTTCAGCGAATGTAACCTTCAATTCAGAGGAAGCGGCACTAAAAACAATGAGCAAATCCCTCCATCCTATCGTCCTGTTCGCCTGGGGTTATATTTTGTTCGCGCGCGTGCAATGTCGAGGCACTCTCCGGATTCTTAATGAGTCAAAGTTATCGGAACATAAGAGGCTCTGTTTCAGGAGATGTGACATTGGCTTTGGAGTGGATGACAGGGGAACATCAAGTAAAGAGGTACGAAGCTATGCTTTTTGCACCTGCAGCGATGTACTTGTGGAACCTTCGCAGTTAAACAATTTAGTTCGACTGCATCAGTTTAAATGACTTTTTTTTTTATTTCAAAGCTGATACACAATCGTCACCAGAAATTCAAGCAGTAATCCTTATTTCTTTTATATAGCCAGATGATACTTCTAATCACGTTAGAGTAGTTAACGAGACGAATTTTGTCGTGGAAAATTTGGCTTGGCTGCACAGATTCAGCTAAAATTTCGTTCATAAATTATTCATATCGAAAATTACATCCCGACTGCAAAGGTGAATATATATATCTTATTAGACGTTTTGTTGTGTA